AAAAGAAAAAAACGAAAAAAAAAAAAAAAAAAAAAAAGAAAAAGCGCGCTCTCCCAGAGGGTGGGCGCGTCTACCGGTCTCGGCGCTACTACTCCACGACCTTGATTACCCCGGTTCACCCTATCAAACCCTGCACCCACCTCACCAACACTCACACCAATCCACATCACTCTCACCACGCCTCACCACATCACTCTCACTACGCCTCACCATACACCTCATCAAAGCGTCGGTTGATGGATGGATCCACTCCGAGTACTACACGAGCAGTCAGGACTCAATCACCCAACTGGACCGTTTTAGAAGACGAGCAATTGGCAATTTCTTGGGTCACTGTCAGCGAGAACACGATTCAATCAAATAATCAGTCTGGTGCAATATTCTATGGAAAGGTGGCTGAGCATTACAACGAAGCAGCCAAGAACCACAACTGGATTGAGCGGACAGATAAACAGGTCCAGAACCAGTGAGTTTATATGACTCACCTTTGAATTTGTGACCTTGTACTGATTTTTATCTTCAGTTGGAAACCTCTGAACACAGCTACGTTGAAATTCTCCGCCATCTACTGGCCAATTGTCCGGAACCCTCCTAGTGGATCCGCCCCCAGCGACTTCATGGGTATAGCTAAGAAGGAGTACCTTAATCAAACTAAGGAGGTGTTTGAAGATGAGGTGGTGTGGCAGGTGTTGCATCGACATCCTGAATGGGCTCAACCCATCGATCCGGTCAAGAAATCCTCCGTCAACACTTCGGTCTCATCCTCCATCAGCTCGCCTATCATTTCTACGCGTTCATCACCACCACCACCTTCTTCCGACCCGTTTGAACGTCCTATTGGCCAAAAAAAAAGCACCTGTGTATACTGTAAAGCACCGAGTGTATTGGATGATACACATGTAGCTATCATCCTATGTACTTGGAAGTCCTCCCTTTAGAATTTGTTAGAAAGATAGGTGGTCCTATGGTCACCTAGAAATATCTCTAAGTCCCATTTCTCCAAGGGGGGGGCCTTGCCCACCCCCACGCACCCCGTACAAATCTCACTACTCAAGCAAAACATGTTACTACTCAAGTAAATATATTACTACCCAAGTAAAAAACTTACTACCAGAGTCAAAATTTCACGGCTCACGACAAAATCTCACTACTCGATCAAAACTATTACTACTCAAGCTCAAGATCTTACTACACAAGGCCTAATCTTACTACTTATGCATGCAATCTCACTACTTCTGTAACAATCCTATGACTCCAGCATAAGACCTTAGTACCCAACTTATAATCTTACTACATAACTCCCCGAATCGCTCCTCAACCTCAAATATTACTACACAAGCCATCATCTCTTACTACCCAAGTCAAACTCCCAGTATCCAATTCTGACTCGCCCACAACGCCAAATCTCACTACCACAACCTCGATATACGCCAGCTTTAATTCTTGTCATCCATCCATTACACCACCCTTGATTTCCATCGTACACATGCGCCAGGAAGAGTACCAGGAAGAGTACATTATGCCGGTACCTGATACAATCGAAATCCATCACAAAGATCGCAGGAAGATGGACCATTATGTCGCCGAATTCCCAGCTACAAACCACGGCTATCGTATGCGGATAGGTAACTCACAAAAGAAAAGTAGTGCAGTTTCACACTACGAATGCTACCGATCAGGCCATCCACCTAAAGTCAAAGGAACAACAAAATCGGCTCGTATTGGCTGCCCGTTCAAAATGGACACTCGATTCCTTTACCATTCGTCGTCATGGATCCTAATCCATACTCATATTGGTCACAATCACCCGCCCGACCCTAATGTGAAACCTCGCAAGAGGCACATTGATCCCAATGCTGGACCCATCCTCGCTCCAGGTGTTGTCCTTGACGCCAACATCAAAACAACTACTCATCAAACAGCCAATGTGACTTCAAAGTAAGCAACTCAACGTTACATCACATCAATCAAAACACCAGATCAACAAGCAAAAAACTTACATCAGAAACCTTTACGTTCAATAGTCTATTGAAAAAACCTGCCTCCACACCTGAAGGATCTATTTGCAGGTTGATCAACCACCCTGAGCCCCATGTAGAGATACAAACACTTGTAAGTCAACGTTACCCTACTCTAAAATCATCTGCTAGCTGGACTTATTGGACATTCAAGCTCAAATTTAATAACGAAATCTAATTAATATTGTTACAATAATTTCTTATTGTCATAGATAACCACCACCACCACGGAATCTCTGAAACCAAAACAAAACTTCGAACTGCCTGACGCCAACGCATGGCTGCCTGAAACCCTCCATGTTACTACCGCTACGCCACTGTACTACGACCTCAAAGCTGACCTCAAGACGCTTGAGACCTTGGATTCCACCATCTCAAAGCTCAGAGGCAAACTCTGTGCTATGGCTCCACATCGTCGGCAGGCGGTCCTAATGAAGATCCAATTGATCATCAGTAATGAACGCATGGTCAACGATGAACATAAATTACCAATGTCCTTCTTACCTGAACCCCCTGAGCCGGTAAGTTGAGAGACCTAACATCTACAAACCAAGATATAAAACTGACAATTTCTTACAAACGCTTAGAATCTCCTTTACAACTCGGTCAATGAAACTCCAATGTCACCTTACATATCACCAGTACCCGCCCATCGGGAAGAACTTTCAGTAAGCCCCAAATAAAGCTATTGGACTGGTAGTAGAAGAATCAATGTGAATTTCTACTGATGATAACATGGTCCGTGTAGGTCGAGAGCCTCATTGAAGACTTCTGTGGACCATCCAAAGCTACAACACCAACGTTCAACTTCGAAGACCTCATAATATCTCAGCCCTCACTTGATGATGCTAACAACCGGCTGGAACCCAAGTTACTATTACCTACTTCACCTCCTACAACAACACTTGAGAACTGAACCAACAAACCGCCACTCTTGGAAACACAACATCTGGCTCAAGACATTCATTACCCAAATCAAATCGCTCTATCACAACCTGAAACATCTGCGACGTCCCCCACCCCGCACCCAGTACCATTGTTAGGAACTTTATTACCACCACCTCCTAGTCCTCGGGTCACACGTAAACGTGCCCGCGAGGCTGCTCTGTTACACAAGCCTAGCGTAATCAATCCAAATCTACCGGCACTCCTGGCAAAGTACCGGCTTCACTCATGGCTGGAACCCTTTGTCATTGACGTGCGAGAAGTGAAAGCAGATGGCCACTGCGGTTTCCGAGCCATAGCAATCTGCATAGGCGAATCCCAGGACGAATGGCCCAGCATACGTCAAAGGATGGCCGATACACTAACCAGCATTGATGATGACCGCCTCTTACCCGAGAATCGGGATGATGCCATTGCTCGCCTGATCACAAACAAACCCAATGTTCTCACCGACCGACAGCATTGGCTTGCACCATGTAAATATCCGTGTGGCACGTTGACGTGCACACACGGAGAGTTTTGAAATAAAACTCCAAGTCTTTTGGTCGAATTTAGACTGAGATTGTTGTTGAGCACCCTTTGTGCTTTGTGATTTGTTCAAAGGATTTGCAGAATCCTTTGTTGTCAGCAGGGGTCAACTGACTTTCAACCTCCCAGGTGATAAGGGGAAGATGTGCTTGTTGTGGCACCTCTTTGATGGGTTGTTACAGGGTCTAAGGAAAGTCTTTTGTGTGTGCACGTCGACGTGCTACAAGGATATTTACATGGTGTTGGAATGCCCAGTTGGGGTGGGGTGATAGCCACTACATTTGATTGGCCTGTCTTGTACTACGAACCTGGCGCTTATAGTCAGATGGTTTTTCCCTACTTCACTGCTCACAATCTCAACCCTCCCATTGTTCTGGCCTTCGCCAACCTTCACTTTACAGCCCTGTTGCTTGATTTCACAAAACCAAACTTCCCAGCTCCACGTCTCTGTGCAACCTGGCGACGATTTCATAAAAACGAAGCCTCAAGTTGGTTTGATGCGTGGAAACCTCTGATCGAATATCATGCGGATTATTTAAAAGGTCTTAACAAAAGAAGACGCCAAAAAAAAAAGATATTTGTATTCACATTGACTGATTTTAAATCACACTGTTAACCCCCGACCTTGTACATCGTTTTGTTATTACAATGTTGGTGAAAACATTTCCTGAAAGTTTCTTAGGTGTAGCCACTATGTGTGACGATTTGATTTGAATGAGATATCATTGATTGCTAGGATCTGATGGTGGAATGTCATTGACCATATTAAACATGGCATAAAATATGCAAATTATCATTTACAGCTGTTGATATTGCATCAAGATAAACTTTCGATCATTGCCAAAAGTAAGTAAAATGTGAACATTTTGTTACTTTTATGGCTTCAAATGATCTAGTTACTTTTACACAAAGCAAACTTAGTTAATTAGTCACCATGCAACAGCAGTTTTGTAACACTACACAAAATATAATATTTTCTGGGGCAGAAAATTACATTATTGATACACAAAAATATTGAGAGGCCAGGAGAAGGGCAAAACCTACCTCACACTATGCATCTTGTTCCCTGCGGTGAGAGCTTCACTCTCCATATTTTTCCATATCTTTACAGTCCGTATCGATACGTGTACTAACAATAAACCTTCATAATCATCCAAT